GATTAAGTCCAACTTAATCACCTCTCCCATTTTATTTTCAATTTTCATTTTAGGCATGTGACCCATTAGACTTCTGACATGTTGGCAGTAAATTCAACATATAATTCTTAACTTAAACTTAAAATTAGATCAATTTAAACTACTTTAAATTTATCAGTAACCAAGTCAACTACCTAGAGTTCATAGACCAAGGTTGGGTTCTAGCAATCCATCATGGCCACCCAAATCTTAGAAGAGCCAAGATGGTTTTACTCAACCTTTCAGTGATCAACCTTTTAGTATAATTCATTCCCTCATTATATATCTTGAAGATGATAAGAGTATAGTGCAGTGTCTACTCTTATTGATCTCCATATTCGTTCTTAAAGTTTGATCATCAGCTTTGTAAAGACTTATGAAACTATTTTCATAATCTTTAAGTAGCGTTGGCCAAGGACTTCAATAAGCTAATATCAACCAAGAACAGTTATGATATGTCTCCTAAATTACTTAAGGTGATGATTGCTATCATGACCACTTATTCGCCTTCACATGCTTCATGCTATACCCAAAAGCATCCTATTTTGGCATCCTTGGTTAGGCACCTATAGGGATGAAATCAAAGCATAGCACACCACACATAAGACAATCTAATGTCTAAAATCTAGGGAGTATTTACACAATTGATACATGAGAAGTAGTGCAAAGACATTTTAGTGAAATACCAAATACACTTCTCATGGCGGGTCAAGTTCAGTGGACTTGCTATCCTTTGTAAGCACCTATATTCTAGTTTCAAGTATCTCTATACTTCAATCTATGAAATCAATTGCTTAATTTCAAAGTACAAAACATAGAATATACTAGTCTCTAAGGGTCATTGATGTCCTATCTTAATGATACATTGAGTAGGAACATTTTGAAATTATGCTTTGATGCATAGGGATCTCATAACTATAACTCATTATAATTCCCTTGCAAGACACATTAATCTCATGGACTTTATCTAATTAGACTTATAACTCATTATAATCGATATCTTATTGATGAAAGAAAACCTCTAATCATTCAACATGAATGATATTGTTGCATGATTGGAATAAAGCCTTAACGAATCCTAATTGGCTGCAGGGCTCATCTTAACATCAACTTAGTCTTCCAATAAGCACTCAAAGCTATTCAAGTTCTCTCACTTGCAAATACTTGAGCAGATATTTGTGAGATTATTTATTTTCTTTGAACCCAAGCATAAACCTTTAGCACTCAGCCTTTGTGAGGCAAATCTTTGCTATTACTCCCTTGTACACACATTTGTAAAGGTTCTAACTTATCCTTGAAAACTTAGTGTAAGGGTTATTACTTGATCCCTTTAAAAAGTAAGAATCTTTTTATGGATTGTGTAAGGCATATCGCTTGATCCCGTGAAAAAGTCGGTGTAAGGGTTATCGCTTGATCTTGTTAAAAAGCAAGAATCTCTTTTATGGATTGTGTAAGAGTTATCGTTTTATCTTGTTAAAAAGCAAGAATTCTTTTAGTGGATTGAAAATTCCTTGGTGAGCCAAGGAGTTGGATGTAAGCATTTAAGAAAGCTGAACCACTTTAAAATCCTTGTGTCTTGATTTATTTTTATGCCTTGTGGTTTATTATTGATATTTGTTTTAAAAAAAATCACTTGGTTCATTTTTTATAGAAGAAGAAAATTTGCTTTTCAAAAAGGGGTTTTTTTAAATTGAGCTTACAAAGAAAATTTTTAAAATACCAATTCACCCATTCTTGGTATTTATTGCATTGAGTTTATTACACTAACAAATCCCCAATTCAGTAACACATAGAATACTCTGCTTAAGAGCATGCTTTAAGAGGCTAGCCAGGAACCTGGCTCTTTAAGGTAATTGAGTCGGGAATGATAAATTAGTTAACCCTAATAGAGAGTTTAAGCATATTTGAACTTAAGGGAAATTTTAAAACCTTATGCTTGAAGGCTTATCATTTATATTGGTATAAAACTACACTTAAGTTTTGTCATGCCTAACTTACAACCTAGGATTTTAAAATAATTAACTATGAATTTGATTTTGTAGGCAAATGTGTTGGAATCATTAGTTATGGTAGAGCTCAAATTGAGACTTTCTGTGCTTGGAGCTTAGGAAAATAATTGGAGTCATATTATCTGATGATTCGCTTTTGGTTTGCCTTAAATAGGCATCTTGTAATAATGAAGATTGAACCCTAACTAGCCATAGGTCAATCCTCATTTCATTGGAAGTTAGATTACTTTCTATATTAGCTCTAGGATAGACCCCAGTCTTAGATAGGGTTGATCCTCAGCTTATCCAAAGATCGAATCAATGATTTGTAAGCATCAAGATTAACATCAAGGAGGTCGATCCTTACACCATAAAACACTAAGATAGATTCTGTATAAGAAGGGGAATCAACCTCCAATTTAGGAAGGGTTGATCCTAGACCCCCAGTAAGTTTGGTGAATTTAGGTGGACCTTTAGGTAACCTTTTTGGTATAATCACAATTGCTTTGAGCATGCTATATTAACATATCTGTTTTGCATCACATACACATTTATATATTTCTAAACTTGTTTTATATTAAAATTTCCTCTGTTTTCCGCATATTTCCTTTCATACCTACTCATTGAGTTTGCAAGACTTACTCTAATTAATCGTTACATCGTGCAGATATATATAGCTTTTGGGGACTTCTGCATGGAAGCAAGTAGCTTACATTTGCTCTGTACGCTAGTTTTGGCATCTAGTAGGCACTCCTGATCTGTCATGTCCACTCCACTAGTCTTGGTCTTTGTTGTTTACGGTTTTGTGGGCAATTGTGTCGCACGTTATATTTGTTAGTTTATTTTGTAAGGGTTTCAACCCAGTACATTAGCATTTCTGTTTTCAGTTAAGTATGAGCACGCTAACTTACATGCCACTGTGCAAGGAATGTAAATATAATTGTTACACGTAACTGTATGATGATGAATCGATTTATGAGTTGCAAATTAAAATGCACGTATATTATTTAAGTTTCAATCTTGTTACACTCATATAAAAGAATTTCATTGGGTTAATAATTGTCAATCCGATACTCGATTTTTGAGGTTCGCTTGGATCTTACAGGTTTCACCTGCTAAACTTTTACACTTGTAAGGATTTACGAGTTTGTGTCGTTACACTATCTACCTTTAATTCTAGTAATAATTTTCATTTTATTTTGAAAAATTAAAATATTTTCTTCTTGTCTTTATAAATATAAGATGCAAAATTTCATGTTTTATCAATGAAAACAAAATATTCATACTTCCAATAGTTTTAAAAAATTTATTTTATTTTCGTTGTTTTTAAAAACCGCAAACACGTTGTCACGTAACTAAAACTATTAAAACAAACCTCCCCTATTGCATAAAAAAAAACCGCAAAAAGCCGCGTGAAGACAAATTCCAGATTGTGACGGCATGTTGGCTAAGCCAGCTCGGCTAGGAATTGGATATCTGGTGGATATTTGGTAATTGTCTATAATTATAAATAATAAAATAATAATAATAATATAATAATTAAATCTAGAATAAGAAAGGCCGCTAGAAATTGCTATTAAAATGAATAAAAGGAATTAAAATGGTGAAAGGCAAATGGGTTTTGAGAGAGGTGAAAGGGCAAAGAAAGGATAAAAGATGGTTAATTTGCGTTGGACTTAGATTGTTGCCATGAATGGAGGAAGAGTTGAAAAGTGATTCCTCCAGAGGAATTGGAAATCAACGACCAAAGGAAAAAAATCGTGAAAGCGAAAAATAAAATAAAATTAGTTAATTACATTTATAAATATAATTTTATTTGGACTAGGAATAGTAGTGCAAGGGCAGGAGGAGGAGGAGAAGAGTAGAGGGGCGCGAAAGCCGCGAGGAATTGAAACATCCGCCCAACTGATCATGCTTGGGGTTTGCCAGCGCTTTTTCCCATTTTTATTTTTGGAGAGAGAAAGAAACAGAAAACAAAATATTTCAAAGTTTACGCACAACAAAACGCAGGGAAGCCAACAAGGTTGTCGCCTTTTCGTTTTCTTTAGAACAACGAAGAAAAGAGAAAAAAAAGAAAACAAAGAGAGGGAGAGAGAGAATCGTATCTTGGTACAATCCGTCTTTGTTGTTGTTGGCAGAGAGACGGGAGAGAGGCAGCAGCAGGAGCAGCAGCTGTGTTTTGGAAGTTGGTCCGAAAACCCTCTCTCTGTCTCTCCTCACTGCTCACACAGCTATGCTTTGGTTCGGGATGGTTGGAATTAATTACTGAGATATTTGGCCTTTCCTCCTTCTTCTTCTTCTTCTTGTTTGTCATCAATCATCATCTTCGACTCAATTAGCTATGGCCCTGTATAGCGATCATAAACCCAAGAGGCTTTATCGAGTTTGGAAGGGGAGCAATGTGAGTTTCTTTCTTCTTTTCTCGTTCCTTTCAATTGTGATGATGATTCCCTTTTGGCCCTTTTGATTGTGCACTGCGGACTATGATTTAACATCATTCACTACCATACGTTACTCCGTGGGACACTATGACTCTTTTTTGCTTGTTTCTCTAATAAAGAATGGATGCTCCCAATTTTCTCATCATTTCCTTCAAATATCTTTTTTGAGCTCAAATTCTGAATCCTGGGTTTGATTGGATTTGCAATTTGCAACTTGCAACTAGTCCCTTTATTGAGAATAATAATATATTATTAAATTAATTTAAGAGATAGCTGCAGCAATAATAATACATTGCTTGATTAATCATCCATCGCACTTTGACGTGGTTGTGAATGAACCTTTCTTGAATTCAATGAGGGCCTGCAATATTTCTGTCTTCACTTTATCATCGTGTCTACCCTATTGTCATTTTGGAGATTCTTGATTTACCGTTCTTCTCTTCTTCCATCCCCCACTCACACCCTCCTAAAAGCAAAATGAAAAAAGAAAGAAAGAAAGAAAAAATAAAGAGTCTTATAATCCTCTGAATTCACATTATAAAACTTTGAGGGGATTGTGTTTGCTCAATCAGAAGCGTAGCCATGAATGCTTTCCCTTTTGTTATTATAATGACTAAGTTCAACTAATAAGGCTTTTGTCATTGTTCATTTTGTTTTCTAACAGAGATTCTTTTGTGGTGGGAGATTAATCTTTGGTCCTGATGTCGCATCATTGTTTCTATCCACACTCCTTATTGCTGGCCCTGCCATTGCTTTCTGCATAAGGATGTACATAAAAATCAGAGATGAAAGTACCAAACATGTTGGTCGCTGTTATCCTGTATTAGTTGTGGGCGCCATACTCTCTGCATTGGTGAGTTTTAGTTTCTTGGCCTTCTAGAGATGATCACTGGTACAGAATTATGCCTGCCAAATATTATTCAAACCAGTAAACATGCATTCTGAACATGGTGTTTTCATTCAATTTATTTTACATTCTGTAAATTTTTTATGTTTACACTCTATCTTGTAATCACTGTTCTTGAGCAACAACCTAAAGGCTCCTGAAGGTGATTAAGCACTTAAGTAGTCATCGCTTGATGAAGAATTCTATTTTGTGGGCATTCAATGGAGACCTAACTGCATTTTATGAAAGAAAGCAAGTCAGCTAGGTGTATGAGGACTACTGTTATGCTACCTGTAGCCCCTTTCATATAAGTGGCCTATGGTTAAGTTTGCTTTTGATTTCTTATCATTTGCATTGCACTGGTGTTTTATACATATAGAGGTCTGAGTATAATACCTATCTCATCTTTTCATTCTTCATTGGTTTCAATGAATGATTTGTTCAATCATTTTCATTTTCTGTTGGGAAATTAGCCAGTCTTAAAACATTTTCATTTTCTGAGCAAGTGCAACCCTCACCTTCACTCCAGAATATACCAAATTGATACAATTCAACTTTTGGCAGGATTTGACATTTCTCTGCTTTACCTCTGGTAGAGATCCTGGAATTGTACCTAGAAATTCAAAACCTCCTGAATCAGACGAAGCATTTGATCTGACTACCCCATCTATGGAGTGGGACAATGGTAGAACTCCTCATTTAAAACTTCCTCGTACTAAAGATGTAATAGTTAATGGCCACTGTGTGAAAGTGAAGTATTGCGACACCTGTTTGCTTTATCGTCCTCCCCGAGCTTCTCATTGTTCCATCTGCAATAACTGTGTTATGAGGTTTGATCACCACTGCCCATGGGTTGGTCAGTGCGTTGGAATAGTAAGTTTGCTGTAGACTAAATGCACTTACTGGTAGGAGATACTTAAATGGTAATCCTGAAATATTTTTCTTGATGCGACTTCAATTAGATTGGCATAAATATGGTATTTTATAACAAGAGATCAACTGGGCTTTGCCATCAAGAATTGTTTATATTAGAACAACTCAATTAAATTCTGTATTGGGCATTAGTTATGGTCATTTTACACTTGATTGGACATGTAGCTCTTGATTCTTTCTTTCAAATGTTGAACAAACCAGACACTCAGAGGCTGTTTTGGCATGGTGAAAGGTAGAATTTAAAGCTAAATTTGGATGGTTGATTCGAGTTGGTGTAATGGGGGATTAGTTTAAAACTCAACTACTAAGTGGACACAGTTGGCAACAAATAAGGAGGAAAAAGGAGGAATAAGGAGATTTTTGTAAGCTTCAATTGTGTTCCTTAAGACTCACTTAGACTTGACTGCATCACACAATACAGGAGCAATAATGCTTGGAAAATCCTCTGATGATAATTCTCTATTAAGTAGAGGATTATATTGAGGTATGCATAAATCTCTTGCACTCCTACTAAGGACTAGCATTGCCAAACCTTAGTAGTACTTGATAAGTTCAAAACTATATTAAAACCTAAAAGTATAGGAAGCTTAAATAAAACTTGTAGAATCCAAATTTGCAGTTTTTAGTAGATCAAGAATACCAAGTAGCCCTAACACTTAAAACTCAAGTAAGAGAAAATAAAATAAAATTCGCAGCCATAATGGAAAGGAACATATATTACGCTTAACTGTGGTCTTAAATCAGTTCAACATCAAATGAAGACCACAATCCCAAATATTATTGAAATATAATCTTGACTTTTCATGGAATATTTTGTTGTATATCACCACTTTTAATTGTTATTGACAATTTGAACATTTTAAGTGGTGGTTCTCATTAAACCTAAACATCATATGTGGAATTTGCATTTATCTTGTTGAGGATTTTAATTTATAGCCATTGGCTGCTGCTGGTTGGAAATTTTAATTTTAAAGATTTTTTTTTTTTTATAATTGGGGGAAGGGGGATTCGAACCCTGCTCTTTGGGCAGAAGGATCATGCACCAACCAATGAGCCTATTTTAAAGATTTTCGTTCTTTCATATTGTCTTCAGGATTATTACTTATCTAGGGATGTGCTCTGCTAAGTTGCACAGTTGTAAAATTATGTTGCAAATAATGTTACTTCAAAACAAAGTTGTTGCACAATCTTGTGTATGATCTCTAAATGGATGACTCCAGTATTATATATGTGTGAAATATTGCAAATTACTTATTCTTGGTTGAAACTAACGATGCTTTTGACTGTGGTGGTTGCAGCGTAACTATCGGTTCTTCTTTCTGTTTATATCAACCTCAACCATCTTGTGCATATATGTCTTTGTCTTTTCTTGGATCAATGTCCTGGAAAAGGAAATTGGCAATCACAGCAATATTTGGAAGGCGATGTCACATGATATTCTCTCAGTTTTTCTCATAGTCTACTGCTTCATAGCTGTATGGTTTGTTGGTGGCCTTACAATTTTCCATTTCTATCTGATTTGCACTAACCAAGTAAGCTTCTCGTCAAGGTTCCATGTTTCTTTGAACAAATGATTACCTTTCGTTCATTATCATATGATACTTTTAAGGTCCATGAATACTTTGACTGATAGTGCAATTTTGAATTGGCTGGATGTATGACAGTCTGTAACGCATTTTAGGTTTTTTGCCACCAGTGCATTCGTAAATTTTTCACTAACTTATACTTATGGATGTCCTTTGTTAGTTTCACCACTGTTTCTATTTGGTCATTGAGCCTATTTGGCTCTTCTGGGACTGTAGTAAAAACTGTTATTGAAGTAGAGCATTTGGAAAAGTGTTGCCAGATTGACATTTTTTTATTGCTAAGAACACTGTTGTCTATTTAACTATTTGTTCAAATGTTCTATCAGCTTGTCATAGCAACTCTTTTCCAAAGCTTTAATTAGAAGTTTCAGCTTTTAATATTTAGAAACTTTTACTTTTTATAGAAACTAAAGTTAAGTTTGAAAAACCTCTATTTTGCTCTACTTAGCTTTCTACAACAGAGAATCTGGTTCAGAAGCTGGCAAATAGGCACTTGAATTTTGAACAAAAGTTTTTAAAATTATTGACTGTCTTAGAAGTCTAGATAATAAAGCTGTAAACTTAAGAAAGTGGATGAAAAGGATTGATGAGAAACTTGACATCCAAAGGAATGCAGTATAGAGGCAAAAGCCTGAAGGATTAAACTGTTCAAGATTTTATGGGCTTAAGTTTAATTATCTTATAGATGTATATTATATTCAATTATTTAGGTACTTGATATTGTGTTTTGCTAATTTTCTAAGTATTAGGGCGTTAAGGTAGTATGGTATTTTGAAACTATATTAGAGCTTTCCCTTTCTCTCTAGTTTCTCCCTGTTTCCCATCATTCTTCATCACAATCAACCAAAGGACATTTAACTCCTGGGGAAGAAGGATTTGTGGACCTTTTGTGTTATTGTTTGCATCCTTCTCTTCTCATGAGAGTTTTTATCCTCCCACCAACCTAGCAAAAGAATAAACCAATATGCAAAACCATATGCTCTGGCCACCATACCCTTTGAAAACCAAATCTCATGCACAAAATCTGCATATTTACCACAAAGTAATAAAATTTTTACGAAAAATCACAATCACCATATTGAGCTAAGATTGAGAGTATAAAGGGGAAGGAGGAGAGGTAAGAAAGGAAGAAAGGAAATAAACTTATAGATAAAGAAAGCCTTTATTAATTAAATGTAATGCTCAAAGTAACAAGAATATATCTCATAACCAACCAATTGGTTGTAGAGAATACATCAACTTTAACATGTTTGTTGGGAGGTATATCAAGCCATTTAAATTTCCTATGTTGTTTAGTTTGAATTTGTTTTGCTATAATGCTTAGGCCTTTTCTAGCAATGTTCTAAGATTGGTCGAATCTGAGTTAAAGATGTCATCTGCTTAGTGCAGGGCCTGTTGCTGGGTAGTTATTTAGATATTCAGGTCCATTAATGTCTCACCATTTTGTAGGGGCTGACTATCAAATATTTTGTTAGTGTCCTAATGCATGGATGAATGGTGTGGATAAGTAGATAAGAATCCGTCTGGAAGTGCGGTAAGTGCGCTTGGGTCTAGTGCCATCTAGGCTGGGTTAGTACGGTGGCTAGTGCGCTAGCCACTCTGGCCTTTAAGTGGACTAAGGGTGCGTGTGGCACTACGGGTGTGATGCGGTGAGGAGCCTCTCCCACCACACCAAAGAACAACACCCCCCACCACCCCCCCAACCATTTTACCCCAATTACCTGACCTCTTACACCTAACTGGTTGAGTATACTATTTCTACTGATATATCTACATATATAAACATGAAACAGACATTCATGCATATATCGCCTCTTTTTAGTGGTGCCTTTCATTTAACTTAGATATTTGAGTATGTATAATGTAAGTCTAGGAAAATTCCACTAAAGATAGAAATATTGTATATAAAAACACTGATTTTTGACAAATAGGCATTTACATTGAACCTTAGAAGCCATGTAAGACCTTGGATAAAATAGTAGCTTTCGGAGTTGTTTAATTTCTTGATTTCTTTACTTCATTTAATTTTAAGGGATAAGTAATAATTTTTTTTTTCCCAGTTCTTTGTTTGCACCATTTTTTCTATTTAATCCACTCGACACTATTTAGGAAACATGTTTTTTGTTCCTTTATAAATTTCGCATCTCAAAATTTGATATGTACATATCATTCATGCATTATACTTATCCCATATATATATTTTTTATTTTGTAATATTATAGATTTTAACTATCATATTTTCATTTACATAATAAAATTTTCTTTGTGCTTCATTTCGAAATAGGTGTTTGTAATAGTGAATTTGGAATTGATGCTTTCTACACATTATGGGGATGACTTTCTGTCGCTATGAAGAAAACTAATAAATATTCAATATACCTGTATTATAAGAGAGTATAGATGTGTATTTGTTCATTTGAAGATCAAGGTATTTCAAATTCATGACTCAAAAGAAAATTAACAAATTCTTGAAGTTAAGGGTAATCATAATAAATATATTCTTGGATATTACCATATTTTACATCTGAAATTTAAAGCCCTCCTCTCAAATTTAAGTTCCCAAATGAAGTGTTGGTTAAATGTCTTGAGTAGAATTTAATTTTTCTCAAATGTTGACTAAAGGATTTGACCTATTTTGTAGTTTGATTAAGGATTTCGTTGTACTAAATTTAATTAAGGAAACTGCTATTTGATTCTGTTAGCCTTGTTAATGCCTCCCACATGACCCAAAATATGACAGCAGCTTATGTGACAGATTACAGGAAAACTTCTTTTTCGATTTTCTTTCTTCTTTTTCCCTTCTCTGTTCTTTCATTTTTCTTCTTTCTTTCTCCAGATATGTTCCTTCTCACTAGCCATACATCTGCATACACCCATTACAACTCTAGTCTTCAACCAAAGGACATTTAATTCCTGGAGATGAAGGATTTGTGAACCTTTTATGTTACTGTTTATATCCTTTTCATCTCACAGGAGCTTTTATCCAACCACCAATCGACAAAAACATAAACCACTATGCAAAACCATGAGCTCAGGCCACCATACCCTTCGAAAAGCAAATCTCATGCACAAAATCTGCATATTTAATACTAAGTGACCAAATTTTTACTGAAAATCACAATCACAGTGATGAGCTCAGATTGAGAGTAAAAGGGGAAAGAGAAGAGGTGAGAGAAACCGCTAAGCTGCTGTCTTAGTGCAGCAAATCAAGAGGAAAATGGTGGACATAAAAAGAAGCTAGCGGAGTGTGGGTTTGCCCCAGTGCAACGAACAATTTAGACTGTAGGAAAATGATTGTGTGAAGTGAGGACAGTTGGATGACTGATTTGCAGAAATACAGAAAAGGAGAAAGGAGAAAAAGGAAAGGGAAAGAGTGAAAAGTAGACCATGGCAGATGTGATTGATGATTGAGGGGTGGTGAGGAGACAGGGAAGCATGGATAATGTTTAGAGATGTAGTATGGTTGCGAAACACTCTGCAGCTTGGCAAAGTGGGACGACAAAGAAGATAAAGGAAGGGGTAAAAAAGGAAGACAAGGAAATAAAAGGTGGTCATATGCCACGTAGCTGCATTGTGTCTTTTTTTGATCATGTGGCTGGACTTAATAGAGCTTATAAAATCTGCTGGCAATTTTCTTCAATTGTATTCAATTGGAATTGAAATGCTTTATTGAATCAAATTGTGGGTGAAATCTTTTATTTGACATTTGAGCAATGTGCATACCCTAAATCTTCACTATTTTCTTTCTAAGTGATTGGTGCAAGTTAATTTAATTGTTGCCATTCTATGACAGCTATTTTAATTTCTCCATCCTTTCATTTGAGCTAATTAATAGGAAATGTCTCGTTAGTCCTTACAGCTTCTGTTCAAATCATCATGAAATGGCCTTCCTCTACAATCTTTCTCTGTCACATAGTCATTATTGTTAACTGCATTTTGTGCAGTGTGTCTGGTAAAGTTTCTTTGCCTTGTTTATTAAGCCTTTTAATACCTTGAAAAAGGAAAAAGACTTTTCCATTATCAATGAGAAACTTATTTTCTTTAACAAAATAATTTCTAAATAGTGTAAGGAATGAGGATAACGTATAATGTCCTTAAATTGTTCTGTTTTATAGTTTAATGAGGATATTGAGTTTAAATTGCATTACTATGATCCTAAGTGACTTTTTAGGTGGAACCAAAACATGCCAGATCATATTTATGTTAAAGTCTACAACCAATATCATACATTCGGTAATACCAAATTTAAAATAAAATGAATTAATTGAAAAAAAAAATGAAAGAAGGCAATTGCAGCTATTAAACATGGAACAAAACTAAATATTCTTCAACTGGTTCTTCCTTCCATGTTTCTTTTTATTATGATAGATTTCCCAGCAAAAGTCTGGGGCACAACTTGAGCATTGAATGACATGATTGCATGATGTTTATTCCTCTCTGCTTGGTTTTAAGTTTTGATATTTCTTCTCCAATGTACTGAAACTTGGTTGCAATTAGTTCTTTCTAAACACAGGCTGTTTTCTTCTTCTCTGCCTCCTTTTTTATTGAGATTTTTTTATAATTAAACTTCTATTTATCTTTAAAAAGAGAAAAGAGTGAGGATACGAATTAAGGAGAAGCGATTTCCCTTATGTTTTCGGTTAAATGTCTAATTTTAAACCTCAAGGGGCAAATTTGTTCTACCTCAAACAATGGGGTATATTTCTGTATTCTACCCTTGCAGTTTATATCTTGTTTACAGAATGAGTGTTATGATTTTGAAACTTATAGAAATCTTAAGAAGTTCATGGAAAATCTTAACTGAAGATCTCTTTCTTTCAATACTGATTTATAATGATTTGAGGTTTTGAGCAGGAACTGTCTATCGCAATGCAATGTTGGCCCCTCCAATTTGTATTACGGTTTTTTTGTTCAAGGAGTTTTAAAACTTTTTATGTTTGATGTTTGTCACTTCACTGCTTAAGCATACTACCTTTTAAGCTTTTGCAACTCTAATTCTCATTTATCCAATAATAAAGTGATTATAATTCTCTGTGGTCCATTTGGGAACTTGTATTTTGGGAGTGGGATATCCATTTGCATTTTAAAATCCAAATTCATTGTCTGTGAACAGTTTTAGAAAGCTGATTTTTAACCAACTGCAAATTTCAAAAAATCTGAACTTCATTGTAATGAAATTGTCAAATGCAGCCCAATCACAACTCTCTCCCTTCTTAAAGTTTAAATCTTTAATTTTAATCTTAAATCTAAACAATGGATTTCAAATACATGACTTCTGAGTCAAATAATTTGAAATCTGAGAAATTAAAATTCAAATCCAACTCCAAGTTTAATTTCCCAAACTCAACGTTTAAGATAGTATTCTTGCATACTAGTATTTCTACATGTTTCTTTGCATTTGACCCTTGGTTTGTTTTGTTTCTGAATAACATTGATTGCATTCTTATCCATTTTTGAACAGACTACATATGAGAATTTCCGGTATCGATATGATAAGAAGGAGAATCCATATAACAAGGGAGCAGCACGAAATCTCGGTGAAATATTTTTCTCCAAGATCCCACCTTCATTGAATAATTTCCGTTCATTTGTGGAGGAAAGTGAGCATATGGTTCTGGGATCAGTGACTCCAAACTTTGTGGAAGGTCGTATTAGCTCGAAGGAGAAAATTGACATTGAGATGGGAAATAGGCTTGCAGAGGATACTGGTCATTCGCTTCCTGAAATCTTGAGAAATTTGGATTACGTTGATTTGGAGGACGAATTGAAGACAAAGCAGGAAGGGGGAACATCTTTTGATCCATTCTTTCTTGATGAGCAAGATGTGAAAAAATCAGTTGAGATGTCCATTGCAGGGGATGACATGGTAAGAACTGAGCAAAGTTCAGCTTCTGAAAATGGAGTTAGAGAATTTATGCAAAATGACACTACCAAAGATGGAATGAGATCAGTACAGACCTCTACTACAGGAAATGAAGCTGATACAACAGAGAAAAATGTAGAATGTCGCAATTCTCATCCAACCATAGAGTAATCTCTTTGAGTACAAAAGTAATCTTCTTATTCTCTTTGCTCATTTTAAGTTAATAATTCCTATGCCAATTTTGTATTTTAATTTTTGGTGACAAACACTGTTATAAATGATACTTGTACAAGTTTTGGATTAAGGACAGCTTTGGTTGGGGTTGAGCATTTTGAAATGAATGTGAACGATTTCCTTTTCTTCTAAATTGCAGTAGTGTCTTAGATGGGAGGACTGTAAGTTGCCGAAAAGTAGATGTGGAATACAAGCTCAAGAAAGATGTTGGAGAGGTTGGAAAAGGGGCAAAATACCAGTCCAGTTTAAAGTTCAAACTCTTGTTTGTTGTAAGTTGTAAATGTCACATTTTGGTCGAAATAATGCAGAAAATGCAGCACACGTGGTGTCCGTGAGCATGAAAAAGGTTTGTAGTTTGTGTTGTAGGATTATCATTTCTTACTTTGTTAACATTTTTTTTTTTTTAAATTCTTATATTATGATTTAGAATAGAGATTTATCTTTCATCAATTAGAATGGTGGAATGTCTAGAACTGATTAATCTAAAATGTGCTTGTTCCATTTCAACAGGGATATGTAATTATGTATTTTCTTTATTAGGGATGTGCTTGAATTTTGCCCTTTGAGCAGAAGATTCATGCATTTCTTATTGAGTTAAACGTTTGGGGGTGCAATCGTTATTATGCTTTCTTTCATCTTGAGTTCTACTAGTCTTCTCCTCTCACTCTCAAAAGTAGTAGGAATTATGTTGTTATGAAATTAAAATGTCGTTTTCCTTGTGCTAGCAGATGGTGTTATGAAATTTAGGCTAGAAGAAAGATGGCAGAAGGGGAAAAAAATTCCATGGAAGAAGGTTGGAAATTATAATTCACAATTTCTGGAAATTTGCTCGTCAAACTTTGACAAAATAATTACAAATTAGATAATCGTTGAGATATATTTTCAACATTGCTAAATTGACCAATTTAATTCATTGATATGGTTTAGATGTAAAATTAATCGAACAAATAATCATTATAAATTGCAAATTTAAAGGTGGATATTTACTTTCCGCTACATGATTTGATTAGAGTAAAATGAAGTTAAATTCAAAGTTTAAAAATTTTTGTAAATAAATAAATAATATCTTACTCAAGTTAAGTAGCTAATTGCTTAAGTTGTTGGTCAGGTTTTAATTTAAAGAGAAATGAAAATATTTAGTATAAAATCTCAACAATGATCCATAAACAAGAAATGTTAGAAAGGTGCGCAGGATTAGAAATCAGACAAGGTTTATAAGGCGCATGATTGGAAAGCATGCTAGGTAATAAGAGCATATGATTTCAATTGGGGAATTTTTTTTTAGCCCTCTAAAATAAAGTGTTTTTGGAAATAGGCACCGAGATAATTTTAATTGTTTTTAACCACTACAGTAGATTTTGAGACAAAAATACTCTTAATGAGACATATTCGTTGAGGCGCACCATCAAACACGTTAAAAAAAGAAAAATAAATTGATAAATATGTAAATAATTTGTGAACTTCCAATTTTGTGTAAAACATCTATTTTTTTAGCTAAGCTTGTGCGAAGCAAGATAATGTTGCATGAGAAGGTTTTTCAGATATTTCGGACATGGTATTAAGATAATACGAGAAGAGGGATATTAAACCGATCGAAGAACCGGTCCTGATGAATCGAAAGCTTCGAGAATGATGTGCAACCAGAAATCTGTGATACGGTGGTGAATTGGAAGGAGAAAGATGTGAATCCAAAGCACGAAATCGTCGTGCTA